CACCACCAGGCGCATGTAGCCAAAGCTTGCCCGTGACAGCGCCTTCACCCAGGCCTCCTGGGCCGCCGGCCCATCTGCGGCCAGCAGGTGTGGCCGCACACCAGGGGCGTTGAAGCGGATGGCAAAGGCAAACTCCTCAGGCACGGGAGCCTCGGCCAGCTCCACCGTGCAGCCCTCCAGCACCACCAGGCTCAGCGGGGCCCGGCCCTCACGGCTGTCGAAGGAGAACAGCAGGTTGCCCTTGAGGACAAACCAGCATCTTCGGCCAGCGCCACTGGGGGTGGGTGGAGTCCCTGGGCCCCCCCATGTGCGCAGGAAGCCTGTGTGGTCCGCCGGGGAGTCGCTCAGTGCGTAGTGGGCCACGCTCCTCTCGTTCAGCTTCATGGCTCCTGCAGGGGAGGCCCCTGAAGAACTGTGAGGTGAGAGAGGCGGCCACGGATCAGAGAGCGAGGCAGCTCCTGTGACCCTGTGGGGAAAAGCATGCTGGCTCTGGAGGAGACCCAGTCCCGACTCACTTGCTCTATGACCTGGGGTCTTAGTGTCTTCATCTGTGAAATGGGCTGATCTCTCCTGCCTTCTCTCACAAAGGGTTGTTGTGAGGGTCATGCAAAACAATTGGCCATAGAGGACTCAGAGAAAGGGATAATGTGATTGTACCAGACCGGGAGACATGGCCAGCCTTTTTAAAATGCAAAGAAATGGGACACCGCTGGGCTGACGTGGACCCCAGACTCACAGACACAGTTCTGCTTAAACCATCCCCTAATCTGAGGGTCCCTCAGCTCCAACCCTGACGCCAACCTCCAGGGTTTCTGGACCTTTGTGGGCCCCTCAAGTGCAGATGGCACAGTTGTCCTTTAGTAAGAATCTGCAGCTTTCAGGGCAAGGTGGGGGTGGGGTGGGCCAGCCTCATTTCTCCATAATGTGGGCTTGGACTGGGCTGCTCTGTAAACAAGTGCACTCTGACACAGGGCATGGCTGAATAGGACCAGCCACAATCACTGAGTGTTGGTGCCTCAAGGATCATAAAATGGCACCTAATCCAACTGTTCTGCTTACTCATGGAAGACTGCAGCCTGGAGCAGGGATGGGGAACTGCCCAAGATCATGAGGCCAGTAAGAAGCCAGGCTTGGTCTCTGGATTCCCTCATACCTTCTGGAAAAGGTCGTGGCTGTGACTCACTTACTAGCAGAATTCACTGAAGGAGGGCAGGAGCCTCTTGTCTGGCCACACAGCTCAGCCCTTCGGCCACGTGGTTCCCAGGGAGCCTGCAAAACAATTCTCAAACCCAGTCAACCCATCCTAAAGAATGAGAACTCCTACACATCCTTTGGGGTCCAGTGAAACCACCACCTCCTCCAGGAAGCCTTCTCTGACCCCCGATAATCCCCACCCCTTCCAGGCCAGGCATTTGTTTTTGCTGTGTGCTGTGGAGTCTATTCCCACTCAGAATAGAACTCCTCCATAGGGTTTCCTAGGCTCTAATCTTTATGGGAGCCAATCACCCGGTCTTTTCTCCCATGGAGCTACTGGTGGGTTTGTCTGACCTTTTGGTTAGCAGCCGAGAGCTTAACCATTGCGCCACCAGGGCTCCTTAGGACAGGTGCCTAAGAGCTATTTAACGGAAGGAGCTGGGTCCCATTGTCTACACCTTCAGTTCCCTACCCCCTGAAGCTAGGACAGCTTCCTGAGTTAAGTGCCCTTATGGCTTCTACCAC